CATTACCCACACGTAAGTATTAGGCCATTAAAATGTGGCTAGTGTAAGTGAAAAACATACTTTGAAATTTTATTTAATTTCAGTTAAGATACCCATACTTTCTTGGAAGTATAGGAAAACTCCATAGTCATGCATGTTTGGGGATATTGTTAAGGTTCAAGTATGGCTACTGAATGTCATTGTTTCAGTAATGCCACCTGGTAAGATAACACCTGGAGCCTTAAGTCTTGGAGGTACTAAGGGAAGAATAAGCATTCCACCAGTTTAACCTTCCACCATCTCTACCTTAGCATAGGATCTTAGGACATAGAGTATAAGGTCCAGGAATGGAAAGCACAGAAACCAAGCTATGGAATCTGGAGAGTTTTTGAAACTAGCAAAAGGGATCCATTTGGAGGTCATTTCTCAACACTGCCTTGTTATTAAAAATAAACTATCAACCAGTCTTATAAAACTATAGTATATGTACAAATATGTGTATACATGTGTATATAAACATTGTACACACATACATATATACTAACAGGGGGCTTTTGCTTCCCAGCTTAGTGCTGATGGACCAGAACTACTACAAAACTTAAACATAAACAAGCAGCAAGCTTAGAAAATAAACATTCTTAAAGCCAAACTTATTACTTCTTATTTTGTCAGTTACATATCTTTCAACCAAAACAATCACAATTCACTTTAAAAATGTGATATGCTATGAAACAGAATACGTACTATTAATTTTTAATGAGTATCTGCATCTTGAGATATTTGAAATTAAAGTAAAATACTGAGCTAAGTATCCCCCAAATAGATGACTCCATAAATACCACCTTGCTAAGAATGGAAACAATTATCTGGAGGATGGAAGGGACAATCTAAAATGATTAGAAATTATTCCTGATTATAGTACATACTTAAATATGTTTGAAGAAAAAGTAAAAGTACTTTCCTAACATGCAAGTTACATTACCTCAAAACATTGGAAGAACTCAGGAAAGTCTAAGCACTATCTATATACAAGGTATCATCATTTAAAAAAGATCCTCACCTGAGGATATGTTTTTTTTATATATTTTAGAGAGGGAGAGAGAGAGACAGAGAGAGAGAGAGAGACCAGTAGGTTGCCTTTTGTATGTGTCCAACTGGGGATCAAACCCACAACCTTTTGGTGTATGGAACAACACACCAACCAACTGAGCCACCTGGCCAGGGCAAGGTATTATCATTTACCCTGTTGCAGTTATAAACTGGAGAGCACAGACTACTTCATTTCATTCTCTAGACACCTACCTTGGGTAGACTGTTCTAAATCTTTTAAACACCCCATCCAAAAAGAATCGGAATGACACTGTAAGAATGTGTGTTCCCATTGGCTGCTCACCTGAGGATGAGTGCATGCCAGCTGACTTGATTGAAATCACCTGCTTAAGTTTTGTTTGGCATGCTTCTAAGACTCAAGCTGCTGAGGTCATAGTAAATGACCTCATAGGAGCTGAGAGACCTACGCAGTCCCCCTCCCCCCCCCCCCCCGGCTGCCAGTGCATCTGTATCACTGCCTCTGTTTATGAATCCAGGGGAAATCCCATTTTAACAAAGATTGCTGAGCCTCACTCAGTTCATGGCCCACTTCCTTAAGTCATCATGTGAGACTATAACATCTCGCACGAGAATGTGGGCAGAATGAGGGAGTGGGCAGGAATTCTCTTAGAGGTTGTGTATTTGAGACAGCAGAGGAGGTACCCTACAAAGAATGGTACCTACCAAATGTAAAAAGCAATTCAAAGAAGAGAACTTCCTTGTCTCTGCTACATAAATGCTCCTCTGGGGCTCTACAGGGAACAGTGAACTTTCTAGTGAGAAACCAAGAGAGCATCCAAGTCAAGAAAATGCATTTAGCAGCTTCTCCATTAAACTCGCCTTCCACATTTATCACTTCCCATTAGCTGCATACCTTTATCCACATCACAAATCAGTCAGAGGATGAGACCTGAGAGCACGAGGCAGGGGTGGGCTGGGGAGAGTAAAGCACGTTCAAGATGTCCATGAAAAATTCTCAGCGTTTTCAGATGATTTAATTACTACACTGTAACATTCCTGCCATGGAATACACAATGGTGTATTTTTAAACTTTAGCTTTTTAAGCAATCACCTAAATATATGCTATCAAGCTCAATACTTAAAATAACTTTAAAAATACCTCATTTTGACAGAATAACAGAACAAGCCAAAAGAAAGAAATTAAATGTTCTGTATTAAACTCCTCAAATACTAGAAAGGAAATATGATATAGAATATCTGAAATAACTCTGCCGGTTATTGCATGTGCCCTTCATGACAAGATGTTTAAAAGAAATATGATAGTGGCCATGTGACATATCTCATGGAGAATGACAGTATTCCAGTTTAACTAGAGAAATGTCATACCAATCCAAAGAGATTTTTCTTTAAAAATGATAACCACCTACAAAAGACCTCTCTCTTTTGAAGTTATACACAGGTTACTTTCCCCCCCTTTTCCTGATAAAAGTAAAGGCTCTTAAGATATTCTGGGACAAAAATGGCATTCCCTCCCCTTTGTAAAATCAAAGTCAAGGATGAGAGTAAAACTACAATTGTTTATCACTGAGAACTCACACACCTTCACTTTCATAAGCAACACACACTACAATCACCAAAGCAGAACTGGACTTCAGGTATTGTCAGAAAGAATTGGGGAAAAGTTATGGAATACTATTCAGCTGTAAAAAAGGAAATCTTACCTTTTATGACAGCATGGATGGACCTGAAGAGTACTACATTAAGTGAAATAGGTCAGAGAAAGACAAATACCATATGATCTCACTTATATGTGCAACTTAATAAACAAAAATAAATGAACAAAACAGAAACAGACTCAGATACAGAGAACTACTGTCAGCTGTCAGAGGGGAGAGGGGTTAGGGGACTGGGTGAAAAGGTGAAGGGAATAAGCAAAAAAACCCCAAGATACCTCATAGACACAGACAGTGTGGTGATTACCAGAGGGAAAGGGGGGTGAGGGGAAGTTGAAGAGGGTAAAGGGATAAATGGTAAGGGGAAGAGCCTTGACTGTGGGTAATCCTATATAATAAAAGCCTAATATGCTAAGTGTCTGGTCATCCAGTGACTGGTTGACTGTTCAACCAATCAAAGCGTAATATGCTAATGATATACTAAGGTCGCTCAACCACTTGCTATGATGTGCACTGACCACTGGGGGCAGACAGTCAATCGGTCAACCAGTCACTATGACGTGCACTGACCATCAGGGGGCAGATGCTCCAACCGGTAGGTTAGCTTGCTGCTGGGGTCTAGCCTATCAGGACTGAGCAAGATGGGCCAGACATGCCCTGGAGCCCTCCCACGGTCCCTCCCTGGCCCCGATCCTGCACTGGGGGGAAGGGGGGGAAGCCACGATAAATAGCTACAGACTCTGTAAGAATTCATCCAGGCGGCCATGCCCGTACTCTTGTGCTATGAACTTGCACAGCCATAAGGAGTGGCCCAGACCCAGCAACATTTCTTAAACTTGAAAACCTGTAAAGTGGGCTTCCAAGAACTTGGGTGAAAAGCTGACACTAAATGTGAACTGCTGAGGCTATGGCAGCTCACGGAGGCCAATGTAACTGTCAACACCGTTGGGGTCCTGCGCCCTGGCCTGTGCCCTCTCACAATCCGGGGCCCCTCGAGGGATGTCAGAGAACTGGTTTCAGCCTAATCCCGCAGGCTACTCCCCAGGGGAGGGTGCCAGACACAGGGCTATGGATGGTGAGCACTGCTGCAGGCAGTTGCAAGCCTCTCCTGATCGGGACTGATTGGGTGCAAGCCCACGGCAGGCGCAGTGGGGCCGGGATGAGTGGGAGCGGCAGGTAGGAGCTGCAGGCAGCATTGAACTGTGGGTTTTGGCCTGATCCCCACAGGCCACCCCAAGGTACCCCACACATGCACGAATTCGTGCAGCGGGCCTCTAGTGAATATATAATACAATATGCAGGTAATGTATTATAGAATTGTACACTTGAAATCTTTATAATTTTAATAACCAGTTATCCTAATAAATTCAATAAAAAAAATTTTAAGAGTGAAGAAAATAAAGAATTGGGAAAAAGCTAGAAAACAAAGATGAGACATGATTCTTTATTTTGCTTACCCAAAGAGTCCATCCTTGGGTGGCATTAGCCAAAGCACTCAAACCATTGGTGCAGGAGAATCCAAGTGCTATAGCGGGGGATCAAGGAGGAAGGCTGAAAGGCAGAGGGCTGGGGCACTGAGCTTTGTAACAGGACACAAACACCAGGGTTTTGTTTTGTTTGTTTTAAAAGTATTTTTTTTTTTTTATTAATTTTGTAGAGGAATGGTGAGGGAGAGAGACAGAGAAATATCAATGTGAGAGTGAAACATGGATTGGCTGCTTCCTGTACACCCCCTGCCAGGGATCAAGCCCCAAACTGGGGCATGTGCCCGGACGGGGAATTGAACCAGCAACCTTTTGGTGCACAGGACGATGCTCAATCAACTGAGCCACCTTAGCCAGGGCTGCTGGTTTTTATGATGGAAAAAACTGCTTAAAGCTTGAATTTGGTAATTCATGCTACAGAAATTAGTGAATAACTGATTGCTAAAGTTACACAGCTCCTTATTCCCCACTGTTTTTATATGCAAAAGGCAAATGATAAGGAAGCAGCTGACACTCAAGAAAGCATGTTTCAGGGCATAGCCTCTTGGGACTGCCTGCTTTCATGCTCATAGTTCATAATTTCTAGAAACACAACAAATCACCATGACTTCTGATTATAAGGCGACAGTTAGATTATGTTCCAATTTCTTCCAAGGGCAGGAACATGTGTCATATTTCAGGAAAATGTCCAAATGAAAAGTCAAAATAAAGTTGAGTGCCTAAACAACTGAGTTATGTAGAGCAGTCAACTGTGAAGTGTCAATAAATAAAAGTTAGTAGGACCTCTATGTATGGTTGTTGTTGTATTTTTTTCATGTATAGGGCGTAATGTCACAGGAAGGCCACAGCATCCTGCCACCCGTGCGGAATAAGCCCAGGCTGCTGTTGGATGTGTTATACACAGAGGAGCCGTCCTTCAGGCGCTCTGCTCTCTCCACACCCCGCTTACATGTATTTTTAGTCTGTCCTTTCATGTCTTTTTATATATTTTTATAACGTTATAATATGTTGGTACAATAGTATAAGCATACAATTTACATATAAATACATACATACATGTTAGAGGAGTGTGCTTTCATAAGGCTCCATGAGCAAAATCTGTAGCCCTAATCTAGAGAAGGTGTCGGGACACCTTATTCTCCCACTAACCTAGAGAAAAAAAGTATTCCATACTTACTGTCATTTTCTTCTTGAATTTGAATATTAACCATATCAATACAATTCTGAATTTCATTCCAGCTTAAGGTCTCTTGCCCTTGGGACAAAACGTCCAGTTTAATGGAGAGTAGTTCATCTGCATAACTGTGGAAGAGAGAAGGATCATGACACTAATAACAAAGAGACATTCATTCTTTGTTCAAGTTGTGCCTCTTCTATTTGACACGAGGGGCCAAAAGTGTTTGTTAGGAGGTGAGACAAAGAGTAGAAAGACAACTAAAACTGGCGTGCAGCTTTGTCAACATACAACAAGCTCATGTATACTAATGGTGTTCTTTTTCTTAGAAATACTTTATGTACAAATGCTGTTTAATGAAAGTTCCTCAAAACCCAGCTTCGTACCTAACTCAAGCAAAACAAAACAAAAATAACTTAGATGTCCTCAAGCCTGTGATTTTGCTTTTTGTCTAATTACTAATTTTCTTCCCTTTTGCACATCTTGGCTCTAAAGGACCATGGCCCTCAACCCTTCCATTAAGCGTTCTTTTTATTACTCTTGTTCCTCCCACAATGTGAGCTGCAAGAGTCCTTTCTACTGTAACCCTAACATAGCTGGGTTACCCTAAGATTTAATATGCCTATTGAGGAATCAAATAAAATGCAAATGTAGTTCCAGAAAACCCTCCTAAATGACACACATCTTCACTATATGTTTTCTTGAAGAGGTGGTGCATGAGTTGAATCAGAATATCTTAAAGTTCCTCCTCACCTGTCCACTGCTCCTAAGGCTTCAGAGCAACTACTCAAAACCCTCGTGTCCCCTCCCGGCCACGGCACTCTCACACCTCAGTCCTGGCCCCTGGCCCTCCTCACTCAGCGGAGTCCTCTGGAAAATAGAGTTTGGCCAATCACTCCAGTTATTGTTCTTATCTGGAGAAATTTTAGAGGAAAAGACACCCATCTGGATATATTACTAAGGAACTTTCATTTCCCAATACTCAATTTTCCTATTTAAAATTTATAGAACCAGTGTTAGATCCATAAGCTAACAGGAGCCAGTCTAGCCCAAAGTAATGACATGCCATAGTTTAGCTGGCTTTTGCATTACTCCAGGGAAATAAAGACCAATCCTCTAGGTGCCTATTGATTTACTATGCAGTTTGACTTCTGAATAGCACCTGCAGATTTCCTAACAGAGGTTAAAGAATGAACATTGCATTAAGCCTAAAACTGTTTTCTTGTTGTGACAAATTTTCTTAAAGTTTTGCATGCCTCTGCCTGAATCTTTCTTTGGGCTCCTTATTCCAGCCCCTTAACCGTGGACCACCGGTTGGCAACCACTGCTCTAGATGACACTGAGGTGTCTTCCACGGAGTAGCTTGAGAGAGAAAAACATTCAAAATAGGAAGCAGTGGTGATGATGCATTATCTGTCGCCGAATGAGACATCACCAAATGCAGGCCTGAAAATGGTTAACTGTCACGTGTGAGATTTTCCCCTTACCAAGAATTATAAGCCTACGAAGATACTCTGCATCACTAGTAACATATAATACTGAGCATAAAAAAAATATGGATAAATGGCAACTCCCAGTAGTTAGCATCCCTTCTAAAAAAGAGTGCAGAATCCTTGTGGGCATCTCACATGCTTAATATCTAAATGATAGTCCAGTGGGAATAAAATGAGGAAAAACACAGAAAAAAATGGCAATCACCCATCATTTCTTTAGCAATGAACCAACACTAATCAAAGGGAACCGACTTTAGGGGTAAGACATAGCTCCGCAGGCTTTTCCATCTGAGAGTTAAAGGCGTGAACTCTGGAAAGTGCTCTGCGGCTTACCCCACCTCTCTCAGAGCTCTCTTCACCATCTCCCATGAGCCAACTAGTAACAATATATTTCTAACAGACTGGAAAGTTTTGAGATTAAAATTCCAATTGAGTTCAGCAAATGTTTATTAAACACATACTATATATAAAATATGTTGCAGGCATCACAGGGATATTAAAATGAACAAGATGCAGCCTTTATACTTCAAGGAGCTACCAGCCTAGTGGATAAGACAACAAAAACTCCAAGGAAGTTTTTCACTAGGAAGAATAAAAATTTTATTTTTGGTTCCAAGACTGTGTTCCTCACCACATGATGCTGATTCTCAGGAGATATGATATGACATTAGCGGGGGTGGGGAGAAGCATGGAAATATTCATGGACGTATAATCCATGGTAGGCAGGGCCTGGCAGCTCCAATACCGTGCCAGCAGACAGGTATGTTCCTGGCGGTGAGAGGAGCACACACAGGAGGAGACAGCTGGAAAGTACAGTGTGCTTGGACCCAGCTTGGCCGATCGGCAAAATGCAAGGAAAGATGCAGCTGCAGCTAAGGGCAGAACACGTTTAGAGTGAGTCTGTTCTTAATTCAGACGAGAGCTGGGAACACTTAAACATAGAAGCATTGTAAACCCAGCTACATTTTAGGACATTTAGTCTGGGAACAGCACACACCTAGAGCCATGCCAATCCTACATCACTTTTTTGAGAATTAGACAAAAGAATCTTTCTGGGAAAACACAGTCCCAAGGGGGGGGGGGGGGGGGAGCCACGATAAATAGCTACAGGCTCTAAGAATTCATCCAGGCGGCCATGCTCGTACTCTTGTGCTATGAACTTGCACAGCCACAAGGAGTGGCCCAGACCCAGCAACGTTTCTTAAACTTGAAAACCTGTAAACCGGGCTTCCAAGAACTTGGGTGAAAAGCTGACACTAAAAGTGAACTGCTGAGGCTATGGCAGCTCACGGAGGCCAATGCAACTGTCAACACAGGAACCAAAGTGGGCCCTGAAACGCAATCGGTATTGGGTCGTCCAGGTGACTCAGAAAATGCTTAAATAAAAAAGAATATTTATTCAGTGTTTAAGATTAAAAACTATAAGATTTTGCTTGCAGCTGATGAGCGGAAAGAGAAAAATAAACCATTAATCACCTGATTGGCTAGTTAAAATGCTCTAACTTAGAGTCAAATTACTCCGTGCCATACCAGTTACTTCGTGTGGACTTAGGAGTAAAATAGCTCTAAACAAAACGTATTATCTGAGAGCACAGGGCCAATGAATGGATATATGAAATACTGAATAAGAAATCTGATAAAGGGAGGTTGTGGCAGCTCTTTTGATTCTTTTAGGTTTCTAGCAATTGGTTACTATATGCAACTGAGTTACTATAGCAGTGAGTTACTTTATCTCTTGACTTGTCTGAGTTAAACAACTTTAACCCACTAAGCAGGAATAAAGAGACATTTTATAGATTGGTTAGAAGACATAAAGCAGTCCCACTTCTCCAGTAGAATTTTAGTTTAATTAAACCATATAAGAAACAATGATCATTGCACCTAATGTACTTGTCACACCACACCTGTTGAGTAGAATTTCCATCCCAAATGTTTTCATCTTCACCATCATCTTGGGCCCCTCAATCTATGTATCTTCCCCTCCTTTTTTAAAAAAATCTTCCCCCCATTTCTCAAGCACTCTCCTTCTGATGCTTTCCCCTGAATTGCTAACCAATGCAAGGGTTGAAGGTTCCCAAGATGCTGTTCCCACTGAGATCCATGCAGAGGAAGGATTACTGAACAAGAAGTTGCTAATCAATCCCCAGATGGCAAGGAATGGCAAAATACTCTCCCCAACAGTGTCCAAAAGTCTGCACTGGAAAATGTACCAGGGATGTAGCTGGCCTTCTTACTGGGCAACAGTACCACTGACGCACTGGGGGCAAGTTTCACATCCAATAAATTCTTTTTATACACTTCTTTGGTAAACTCTTTCCTGGGAAAATGGTTGCTGATGAAAAATTACAATAAATGTTGCCAACAGCCTGTGTAGCAAACTGCCTTTCCTCTTCTAGAGGAACCTCAGAAGGGAACTGATTTGTAAAGAGAGAACCACCAGAAAGATGGAATTGAATTCTTGCAACTTTGCTTCCTTCTCTTGCAGAAGCGTCCCTCTTAACTTCCAGTTCAGCCTGTGTAGCCAGCAAGGCAGCAGCGTTAGCAGCTTCTACTTCTTCCTGTGTACTTGGAAAATGAGTAGCTCTCTGCACAGTCCAATGCAATCTGATGTTTTGTACGCTCTCAAGCTGCCCTATCTTCTTTCTGACTTTTCCGTTTCTTTCCTCGAACATTCTTTTTGCTAATTCCTCTTCTTGTTTTCTTTTATACTCCAACATTTCTTTTCCAGTTTTTCTCCTCTCAATTTCCTTCTTAACCTCTCTCTGTGTTCTTCCTCTTTCCTTCTTTCTTCACTTCCTTTCAAGTGTCTGGGTTGGTCTCTGCTCTGGCAGTGAGGTCCTCCGCTGGTCTCTGATGTGAACACCCACTAGGTCCTGAGACGGAAGGGCATGGCTGGATCTTTCTCCTGTTGCAGAATCTGAGTTTGTAGCAGAAGCGGGTGGTGTCCCACAAAGCTCCCCATTTCTGGACTGAGAGTTTTCAGAAGTGTTGTTAGGTTGAATGAGCTGGACGGAGTAGAGACTGAACTTGTTGACTGGCTGCCATCTGCCATTGAAGTTTCTCCTTTTAATGAGTGCATCTGCTGGACTTTGAATTTTGGTAACAAGTTCATCTGCAGAAACACTTCCTTCTATTACTGCCAAGGGAATTCTACTGTCTCCAATAAAGAAACTAGGTGAACCAGCCCGTGTGGCTTAGTGGCTGAACACCAATCCATGAACCGTGAAGTCACTGGTTCGATTCCCGGTCAGGGCACATGCCCGGTTCCCAGCTTGA